TTTTTTTTTAGATAACAATAACAACACTGTTGTGAATGTATTGGGCTGTGCCTTTATAATATTATCTCAATGAGACTAAAATAACGCATAACGGTTTTATTTTGACAAACATTATCATAATAAACAAAGCTGCTGTTTGTGAGTTCCCAGCATGCACTGCAGTGCGACTAAACCATGCAGCTACTGTTAAAAGGACTAGTTGAATTAGTTTTTTTATGCTGTAATTGTTGATATAGAGAGCTCACTGTACCTGATCATTTATTGATCGTCAGGTTTATGTGTTAATCGCTGCTAAGAATGAATTAATCATTTAAATCCTTATATTCTGGGCTGAATTATTAGGAAAAGCCAGGGCCAGTTTGGTTTCGGTTTACTTGTAGTTTAGGTTGCATTTGTTGTTCATATCCCTGTGTTTTTTGACTTATAGGTTGTGTAAATATTACAAATCTGACTGCAAAATTCTCTCATAACAAGAAAATTATTGTAATGTAGGGAAAGTTTTGTTTATAGTCCGAGCTGGATTAGATGTAATCTGGATTACATAATCAGATTCCAAAAACGAAGTACTTGTAATTAGAGTAGATTACAGTTTAAAATGCTCACAATCAGATTACAGTAACTTTTTATGGATTGCGTGATTACAGTGGCAGTAAATTATTCATAGTTCTATATGTCGTGTAAATAAATGTGCAATCCATGCTTCTGAATTTGAAACTAAATATAAAATAAAATATTTCAAACCTGGAAAATTTTGGGAGTGTAGTGTCATTGCTGTTTTCGTGTTTAATAATGTTTGTGCATATAATGTTTGTAATAATGTAAGTTTGATAAAAAAAGTCATCTAAAAAAGTAAGTAGCCTAGATTGTTACGAACTACAGTTTTCGTCATGTAATCTAATGGCAGGTAACATTGAATTAAACGTGACATTTTAAAATAGAAAAACTGAAATGTATGGAAGGCATCTTTTTATCTCACAATTCTGACTCTTGCAATTCTGAGAAAAAAAGAAAACAAAAGCTAGAATTCAGTTTATAGAATAGAAATAGAGTAGAATAGAATTTATAGAATAGCTAGAATAGAGTTTATATCTCCAAATTGTGAGAGAAAATTATCTATTTTTTTAATATTTTTTTATTGCGTGGTGGGAACAAGCTTCCATATTTTCTTTCAAAACATAATCTTTGTTTTATAAACAACTTTTACAAAAATGTAAAATGTTAAATTATAACACTTGTGACAACTTGCCCCGATATTAATGTGACAGCACACGGGACCGTTTTTGTAAGGATTTATCACTCTTTTGCTATTTTATTGTCTTTAAAGACCTTCAGAGACGAATTATGGCACATATTTTAAGGAAAAAAGTTTATGAAGCATATGCAGGTCATGATGACCATAAAATAATTCTGAAGTTTATATCTCCAAAATGTGAGATCAAATTATCTTTTTTTTTTTTTCGTGGTGGGAACAAGCTTCCATATTCCAAACTTTTTTTTTTTCTTTTGAAAATGGTACTCATAAGTATTATTCTTTAATGCTCATAATTATAACTGAAGCAAAGATGTGATGGTACAGGAATACTGTAAACCTTCAGTACTCCAGTATAGGGAAGACCGGGGCTAGTTGTCACACTCTTTACTAGTGAATATTTCTCAGGTTGGCTTTATTTTATTATTAAATTATCAAACTGGGAACCTGCTGTATATTGATATTGAGAAATATATATTTTTATTGTTAAAATATCAAACATGCTTCCACAATATCTCTATTTATTTACTTATTTATTATCCAAATTAGGAAGATGAAACAAAAATGTAAAATGTAAAATACATATAACACTTGTGACAACTTGCCCCATTATTAATGTGACAGCAAACAGGACCGTTTTTGTAAGGATGTATCACTCTTTTGCTATTTTATTGGCTTTAAAGATCTTCAGAGACGAATTATGGCAGATAATTTAAGGGTAAACGTTTATGACGCATATGCGAGTCATGCTGACCAATAAGTAAAAATAATGTGGCGTCTGCGCGCAGCTGACTGAAGGCGGAGGATTTCTCAGACGCTCGCGGCTCGCGTAGTGATCGCGTCGTTACCATGGCAGCAGAGTTAGTAAACTCCCCCGTTGCCATCGGTTATCGATCCGCGGAAGAACCGCTGGCGCGTGACTGATCTGAGGGAGTCCTTCGGCTTGACGCTCCGTGACGCGGCGCTCGCGTTACCGGGAGACCGAAGCTCCAGCTGTTCTAGAATCGATCAGGACGCGTTATGGGAACGTTCGGGAGCGCCGCGGTCGGTCTGGATGAGGAAGAGGAAGAGGAGAAGAAGCGCCGGGAAGTTGAGCGTCTTCCTCCACTGCTCGAGGACGAGGTGAGTTTGATTGATTGATTGATTGACAGGTGATTGACAGTCTCTCACGAGGACATTTTGTAGAAATGCTGATATCACAAATGTTTGTTTATTAATATAACATTCCACGAATCCCTAAATTACCAAAAAGTGCCAGTATATATATATATATATATATATACACACACATATACACACATATAACATTATTATAACACTAATATTTTAACAAATAGATAATTATAAATAAAAATTATTACATATATGTACATTTAAAATATATATGCAAATTATATATTAAATATATTTATATACAAATTTATGTTCTTTTTTTCATGTTACTATGGTAATACCATGTATGTTTTTTTTTAACTTTGAATATGATACCGTGTAAATGCTATGGTACATGAATATTGTATTCTTTACTATACTATGTGGAAGGAGGTTAGCGGATGGGTTAAAAAATGGCGCATTAGTTTAAAATATATATTTTATGTAAAAATGAGAACTAATGTTTGAACTCACACTAATGAGTGAGTGAGTGTGTGTGCGTGTGTGTGAGTGTGTGTGAGTGTGTGTGTGAGTGAGTGAGCGTGTGTGTGTGTGTGTGTGTGAGTGTGTGAGTGTGTGTGTGTGTGTGAGTGTGTGTGTGTGTGTGTGTGATTGTAGGGAGGTTAAGGAGAAACGCTCTGTTCTCACGGGAGATTGTCTATTTACGGGTTTGTGCCCTTACAGCTGCATGAGACGGCAACTTTATGCCCTATAAACGCGTTATTGTTCAGCTCCAGTGATGAGTTTTTGAGCTACTGGTGAATAAACACGCTCTTTTCTATGAGAGTGCAGTCGTGTGTTAGTCTGTTGTGTTGCAGTAACTAAAAGTGACAACAAAAACAGTGCAACCGTATCATTTATTCATACTGCAGTGCATGCTGGGAAGCTAAGAGCCAGCATTGCAATATGCACGTGACATTATTACGGTTAAAGCTGCAGTGTGTGATTTCTGTGCCTCTGTACTGTAAATACAGCATCACTAAATGCAATAGGAATAATAATGATTGTTTTTAGTTTGTCAGGTGAGTGAATGAGTATGTAATTAGTCATTAATCTACAATTATACAAGCTTTTACATATAATAATGAGGATTTTACAGCATAATACTGTGACTTCATCTCTTTGGGCCTGTTCTCAGTGAAACTACTTTTACTACTAACGTAAAAATGACAGCAATTAGTCATTTTTAATCAGTCTAAAATGCTATTTAGAAAATATTATGTTACTTTATTACATGCTTTTGTCCTACTCGTATAGTACTGTTATTTATCTGTTTAGTTATTTTAATAACATTTTTGAAAGGCATCTGTACAGTTACTTGTGTAAAGACACAATTTATACTGTGAAAAATTAATATGATAAATATGTCTAGAATATTTTGGATAATATTTAGTTTCTGTTAAACTACTCTATTACCCTACTTATAATAATGTTGTTATAGCACTTTATTTGTTTGTTTGTTTATTTAAATATATTTTTTATTTAGTATTTATTTTAATTTAATTAGCATTTATTGATTATTTATTTGTTTGTTTACTTTATTTTAATCCAATTGTTTATTTTGATCTAATGTTTTAATTATTTTAATCAAATTTTAAAATATTTTTTAAAGGCATCTGTATAGCTACTTGTACAAAAGACCCCATTTATTCTGTCAAAATAAATATTTAATGTATAATATTATTTGGAAAATATTTAGTTTCTATTCAGTTACTTTAATACATGTTACTTTCATACTCATTGTTATTGTACTCAGTTTATTTATTTATTTTTTATTTACTTATTTTAACCATTTTTATTTATTTTTTCCTCTAATTTTGATTATTTATTTTTATTAATTTTTTTTATAATTATTATTTTGTATTGTTTGTTTATATTTAAACTTTTTCTGCAAACACTTTTTTTCTGTAAATATTTCCTCAGTTTGAAAACCCCTGGATATTTGGATATTCATTAGTGAGCCGTTTCCATTTAAACATGGTGCCGATATGAAAAGAGGCACGAAAGACATTTGTTAAAACCACCTCTAGGGCCTTTTTACGGACTATGTACATCACTTCATCACTGAGATGGGCTTGTTTCTGGATCAGAAATCAGATCCTTCTGAAGCAGCAGAATATTCATTTGCTATTTATTAAGCAGATTATGCAGCAGTGCAAAAGTCTTCAAGGATCTTCTTGCAGTAAGTCTGCTTAGGACTCCCATCTGTGAAGATGCCTCTGTTATCTAATCATGATTTGATTATTTCCTTATGAAGGAAAATGAGTATGCATGGAGTTTAGTTTGTAAACACATTAGTAACTGCATAACAATGTCCCAGCATCATGTCAGTGAGGCGTTTTCTTCAGAGTGTGTGAAAATGTAGTTTAGACCCGACTGGAGAGGACAGCTGTCCTTCACACATCTGCCAAACACACATTCCCCATGGAAATGAATTTAGGAATTTGAGCACAATGATGTACAGATTCTGCTGACATCATAGTGGAACGTATTAGAGGATGTTACAATCTGTGCTTTGTAATCCGTGGAATATTCCACTGGAGTTAATAGGTCGCTATGGAGACGATGGAGTTTTGTACTGTATGTGTATGTAGATATAGATGATTTAATGTTTTTGAAAGAAGTCTCTTCTGCTTACCTTGGCTGCATTTATTTGATCAAAAACACAGTAAAATTGTGATATATTATTACAATTTAAAATAGCTGTTTTCTATGTGAATATCTGTTAAAGTGTAATTTATTTCTGTGATCAAAGCTGTATTTTCAGCATCATTACTGCAGTCTTCAGTGTCACATGATCTTCAGAAATCATTCTAATATGCTGATTTGATGCTCAAGAAACATTTCTGATTATTATCAGTGTTGAAAACAGTTGTGCTGCAGTGTTATTTTACTATAATTGAGATACTGTTATAGTTTTGATCAATATTTTGAATCAGGTTTTATCTTTATATTGTCAATTTTCATCTCAATTTTATTAAAATGAAAATGGACAATTAATTGTAAATATATATATATATATATATATATATATATATTAGGGGTCGACCGATTATCGGCGCTGATATTAAGCTTTTTTATGATTACACGTATCTGTGATTTTCAAAACCGATTTGCAGATAAAATAATTTAAAAGCATTTAAAGAGTTTTTGTCAGAGCCCTTATTATTCTTAATTTTGACATTAATTTAAATTTTTTCACCAGACATATATATCTGTTCAAAATATCGGTTATCGGTCTACATGATCTGTAATAATCGGCATTGGCATCGGTCCTGAAAAACACATATCGGTCGACCCCTTATCATATATATATATAATTACATTTTTGTTTTAGTTAATTATTTTAGGACATCAACTATTTAAACAAAAATAAAATAAGAAATGTACCAAAAAGTTATTTTTTTTTTAATGGTTTTAATTTTTGGTTCAGTTTTATTTTTAGTTAACTTTAATATCCTGTTTTGCTGCTTCATATTTTTGTGGAAACCATGATACCCTACCATTCAAAAGTTTAGGGCAAGTAAGAAAAAAAAAAGTTATTCATCGAGGACACATTAAATCGATCAAAAGTGACAGTAAAGACATTTATAATGTTACAAAAGCTTTCAATTTCAAATAAATGCTGTTCTTTTTCTATTCATTTGTGAATCCTGAAAAATAAAATGCATCACAGTTTCCACAAAAATATTCATCAGCACAACTGTTTGCAATATTTAAAAAATTTTTACTGTATTTTTGATCAAATAAATGCAGCTGTGATGAGAAGAAGAGACTCTCCAAAACATTAAAAAACATTAATTATTCAAAACTTTTGACTGCTGATGTATGTGGGTGTGTGTTCACTTGCTTTTGACTTTTGCTGTTAAAATAATAAGTGCAAACATGTTTTCACTAGTAGACGCTTGAACCCATGCATGTGTGCATTTGTGCATGCATGAGACTGATCTCTCAGTATGTGCTCTCCATCCTCAGGAGAACGTGTCTCTGGCTGATATTCTGTGTCTGCGGGACGGTGGGCTGTCGGAGCAGGAGTTGTGGGCGGTGTGTGTGGAGTGTGTTTGTTCTCTCCAGAGCATCGGCCTCTCGCCGCTCTTTCACACCCTCTGCGTTACGCCCGACACGCTGGCCTTCAACACTCACGGTAATGTGTGCTTCATGGAGCAGCTCAACGGTGAGTCACTAGCTGCATGAGTCAAACTAACACTCAGCGAAACATTGCTTTTAATGCATACTGTATCTCTAATGGACGGTTTTGACAGACGTGTTCTTTTGAAAACGAGAGCGCTCTGTCTTCTTCATAAGTGTGATTTTTCATGTGCACCTCACATGTGTGACACGTTGTGCCATTGTGTAGATAATGGATGCATTTGTTTGCATAATGATTAACAGATACGACACCCTCCCACGAGTGTAAAAAGTATTAACTGGTATTTATGATTATTTCACATAGAAGGACACACGTATTGAATTGTGTCTGCACCAATTAATTTGATCACATGGCTACTTTAAACAGCTTCATTAAGCCTTTAGCCCAAAAGAGCGCATATTTAAAAAGATAATGATAAATTCTCATATGTTCATGCTAGAGGTCGACCGATAGTGGATTTTACCGATACCGATAGCTATAGGTTGGACCACACTGGCCGAAACCGATTAATCAACCGATAGTTTTTAAAATAACTGAACGAAAACTAAAATAGTGCTTTACTAATAAAAAAACAGTACTGAACCATACTTTGTACATGAATAACAATATTATTAAATATTAATCATATATTGATCATTAAGTTCATTAACTAATGTTAACAGAAGCAACTTTAAATTTAAAAAATGTATTAGTAGATGTTGAAATTAACACACTCTAACTAGTTGGCCATCTTTAAATCTCTACACAAAGGCAATAGCATTGAAATTACATACATATGGATATTGTATGTATACTCTCACACTTATATAATCAAAATAACAAAATATGGCAGTTGCACACTGGGCAAAAAGTGCAGCACCGCGCCAACAAACAGCCAAAGGCGTCAGTGATTCCACCTCTAGAGGTCACTCTCGTACTGTATAATGACAGCAGAGCTTCTCAGCCGCTCCAGCATCGGACGCAATCCGGAAAACTATCAGCATGGATCTTTGCTGATAGTTCCAGCAATCAACTATCTGTGCCGATTAATCGGCAAAACCGATACATCAGTCGTCCTCTAGTTCACGCCTAATTTCTTTACTGTTAATTTAATGTTCAACTAAATTATGTGATCTGAAGTTTTTGAGCGTTCTCTCCCATCTCACTGCCGTCACACATAGTGGGGCAGAAATGTCATCAAAATGATAAAAAAAAAAAAACCATTTAATGAGTTTCTGGTTTTATAAAATATGCCTGTGATATAGGTCTTAGCTTATCGCACAAGCAAGAGTCCTGTTTTTCCGAATATCTGCACGATTGCAAATGTACAATAAACAACATGTTACTGAGTAACTTTCAGACAAAATTCAGTTTTGCTCCGTGGAAAAGAAAACGGAACAAACAGCAGAAGCGCTGCGTCTCCGAGCAACACGGAGTTTTGTTCCTCAGCGTTACACGGAGCAGTAAATGATTCAATCAGGCTATAAGTACAGTCGTTTGCAAAGTTAAATTAATTATAGCTTTTTAAACAAACCGGTTGATTTAAGGATTCAACTCATTCATTAAGTGTACAATAAACAACATGTTACTGAGTAACTTTCAGACAAAATTCAGTTTTGCTCCGTGGAAAAGAAAACGGAACAAACAGCAGAAGCGCTGCGTCTCCGAGCAACACAGAGTTTTGTTCCTCAGCGTTACACGGAGCAGTAAATGATTCAATCAGGCTGTAAGTACAGTCGTTTGCAAAGTTAAATTAATTATAGCTTTTTAAACAAACCGGTTGATTTAAGGATTCAACTCATTCATTAAGGTAGTCACTTGCTGCCACCTACTGGCGGTTGTAGTTTCATATTTAAAAAAGTCGCTTATTATTGCATTTTTGCAATAATTTAATATTTCTACAATTAAATGTTATATTTAAACTTAACAAAAACGTAACTGTGATTTCATTTGTTTGTTAATAGCCAACATGTCTTTTTATTCTGATTGAATTTATTGATTAAATTTAAGAATCTGGCTTAAGTGGACACAGGTATGACAATACATTTTTATAATACTAATACTTTTTTTTGCTCAGTGTTATTTCAGGGTTTTGAAACATAACCTCCAGCCCAGGGGCCCCTGACGCCTTAAATCCTGCCCTGTGTACTGTAGATGAGTTTGTTTCTTCATCAGGTTTGGATAAATGTAGCATTGCATCACTTGCTCTGCAGTGAATGGGTGCCGTCAGAATGAGAGCTGATAAAAGCATCACAATAATCCACAAGTTATCCACAGCACTCCAGTCCATCAGTTAACAAACAGAGAAGACAAAAGCTGAAACAAATCCAGCATTAAGACGTTTTTAACTAAAATACATTGAGTCCATAATCCATAATAACGCTTCCTCCAGTGAACAAAAAACAAAAAACTAATGTATTTCTCATTGTTAATGTTAGTTAATGCAGTGTTTCTCAACTGGTGGGTTGCGGAGTGTACAGTCAAAGAAACAACATCAACAACAACAAAAAAATGTAATTCTAAATGATTTTCTGATGCAAGACTTTTATTTTGAAAGACATGCGTGAAAGCTGTTGACACTTCTGTCAGATGCAGTTTAATAAGTAAAGAGTGGCTGAGAAAAACGCACTGTCCTGATTCAGTATCTGCGGTCAGATGAGATGTTGTCAGGCTTAATGTCAGTCTCATTATTCTATCGTTATTTTCGTAACTTGTTACGAAATAAAAAGTCTCTCACCTCAGAAAAACTAACTATCCTGTCCTGTCAGATGTTATACTTTGCTCGTAGCGCGCGCCGTATATCGCTTCACTAAAGCGCAAAAGAAACTACGAGCATGCAACGTGTGAAATAAAAGTACAGTACTAATAAACCACATAACTGGTGCTTCGTGTGTTAGCTGGGAAGGATTTGCATATATGATATTAATTCTATTCAGGAGCAGTTTTCATGTTTCATTAACAATTGTTAGTATTGTGTATTCACCATGGTAACTGCTGTTTCCATAACCCAAAAATACCATGTTATTTTCACTTTGTGTTATTTTGTAGATGTTTAAATGACTGTGGTGGCTCATACCAACTTTTTATTTTGAAAGACATGCGTGAAAGCTGTTGACACTTCTGTCAGATGCAGTTTAATAAGTAAAGAGTGGCTGAGAAAAACGCACTGTCCTGATTCAGTATCTGCGGTCAGATGAGATGTTGTCAGGCTTAATGTCAGTCTCATTATTCTATCGTTATTTTCGTAACTTGTTACGAAATAAAAAGTCTCTCACCTCAGAAAAACTAACTATCCTGTCCTGTCAGATGTTATACTTTGCTCGTAGCGCGCGCCGTATATCGCTTCACTAAAGCGCAAAAGAAACTACGAGCATGCAACGTGTGAAATAAAAGTACAGTACTAATAAACCACATAACTGGTGCTTCTTGTGTTAGCTGGGAAGGATTTGCATATATGATATTAATTCTATTCAGGAGCAGTTTTCATGTTTCATTAACAATTGTTAGTATTGTGTATTCACCATGGTAACTGCTGTTTCCATAACCCAAAAATACCATGTTATTTTCACTTTGTGTTATTTTGTAGATGTTTAAATGACTGTGCTGGCTCATACCAACTTAATTGTATTAACAAAAACTAGTTTGGGACAGCTATTTAATAGCCTTACCTTATAGGCTGTTTATTCATTAGTATTAGTCATATTCTTACAATTTATGAGCATGTTAAGTAAAGAAGGACGGTACTTGTGTGTCAATAATGGTTGTGAAAAAAAAATTGCTTTTTTTAAAAAAATTTTTTAATTTTTTTTACAAATATATAAATATAATTTGCAAAAAAAAAAAGCTAATTTATTTCACAAAAATTGTGGGTCGCGGATTGATGAACATAGCCAAACCAGTTGAGAACCACTGAGTTAATGCATTAACTAATGGGACCTTATTGTAAAGTGTTACCTGTAAACTTACTGTAAAATACCATCAAATGTATGGTTTTCACAAGTAAAAACTATGAATTATCATATAGTTTACACAGATCTAATTGCAATTTTTATTCATGATTATGAATATTTATTATTATTATTATTATTACTATCAAATCAGAAAATTTAAAATAATTGTAAAATAAAAAATAATTTTTAAATTATTTAAATGTATATAATTATTATTATTATTATTATTATTTTACATAAAAACAGTAAAATTAAAATACTATTTTTTTTCCTTTGCTTTCAGATGTTAAATCATAGAGCTTTTATTTTTGCAGAAAACTGCAGGGAAACTTCTCTTTTCAAATGTTTCTCGTTTGTTCAGATTTATAAACGCTTCTCATTACGAACTCGACAATGAAAACACTGTCATCATGAGCGGCTCACGTGAAAACATCACGGTTCAGATTACATTTTTATATGATTACAACGCAGTCTTTGTGATTTGATAAGTGCACTAAACCACATTGTTATAAAAAAGTGATCAGCCAACAGTGTTATATATACTCGCCAGTGCCGATTTTTACTCACATTTGGCGCTTGGCGAGTGTTAATTATAGACCCTGGCTGTTGAACAAATATCCTGTAATACATGAAACATAGTCACTGTATGTCTTCCAGTGTACCGCTTCTCTAAGCCTGTGAAAATCACAAATGTAAGTCCAAAACCATCAAGAGGAAAGGTCTAGATCTGCTTCAGGTCTCACAGGTGAAGATATGAATGAGAACTATATAAAAGCAACTAATGGTTTCGTCCTCTAGCCCATTTCTCAAAGGCCACGCCGCATGCTGTCTAAATATACCGGTGAGCTCCTGTGCCGGCGTAACCCTGAGGAGTTTCTGGAGGATCTGACATACTCCGGAGGAGAAAGCCTGACCTATTTCAGCCGCCGAGCTCTGCAGAAGCATCTGGAGGAGAATGTGAATCCTCAGCGTGGCCTAGTTAGACTAGGACTCACTTACTTATTTACAGAGAGAAAGCAAAGTGATTAAACATCACCGCCAGAGCGTTTGATCGTGTCTGACTGCTCTTTCTGAGAGAACTATTATTAGAGCCACATGCATCTGCGCATTTGCTTTCATGCACGTATTATCAGTTTGTGTGTTTTCTAGCTCTCATGAGTTTTTGCAGGTGGCTTTTGCATGGAGATGCATCGCTCACATTCGACTGTGTTTGTGAAAGTGTAAGAATCTAGTTGGTTTCTCTTGTTTTGTCCTTGTTCTCAGATGATCCTGACGGCTGTTTTGTTCCTCCAGAGTTTGATAAGACTGGAAACACGTTTGAGGTGAGAAAGCATGAATCCAGGAGCTGCTTGAACTTGTTATGAACCTATGTTACAAATGTACGGTCGTACTGATAACTTATCCTGAAAGACCAACACAGAGGGCATGTACAAAAAAATAAAAATAAATCATGTTAGTTGCATTAGACACCAAGGTTATTATATTAAACAAAAATAAAATAAACACAAAATAAACATTTTTGTTACTTGAAATACATGTAAAATAAATGTTGAAATAAAATAAAATAAAAATAATGTATTTAAAAATAAAACAAAATAAAAATAATGTATTTAAAAATAAAAAAATTCAAATAAAATATAAAAGTTTTATTTATTTAAAAGTTTATTTATTCCCATTTTCACTTGGTTTAACATGTGCTAAAATAAATGAAATACACATTTATAAAAACTTTCTAGACATTTAAAAAAATAATAATGACAATACAACAGAATTACTAAAACTTTAAGTAAAATTAAAGTTAAAACAGAAAATACAAAAATAAAAAAAATAATTCAAAATATTAAAATAAACTGTAATTGTATCTCGATGCTAAGCGCGCTTTAAATAAAAAATAAATATATATATATTTTTGCTTGTCATGTTAATTGCATTAGACACCAAGATTATTATAAATAACTAAAACTAAAACCATGAAAAAACATTTGTTACCTTTTAAAAAACAAAAAAATACTTACTAATAAAAATGACAAAAACACCACAAAATTACTTAAACCTAAAATAAAATTAAAATGGAAATGGAATATATATATATATAAAAAATCATAATATTAAAGGAAACTATAGTAGTATCTTAGTGATATTAAATAAAAAAGAAATTATTAATTGTTTGTCATGTTTATTGCATTAGACACCAAGGTTATTGTTAATAAAACTAAAACCATTAAAAACTTAAACTTATTTTATTTCAGCTTATTTCTCATTAACTAACATAATGTTCTAAAATAACTTAAACTGAAATTAAAAAAAAATTATAAAAACCAATAACTAATAAAACTGACAAAAATGCAACACAATTGCTAAAAATGTAAGTAAAATTAAAATGATGTATTTTTTAGGAATATTACAGATCATAATATATCTATAATAGGTAATTCTGGAAGCGATGCTGCTGAATAACCTGTGATCTGTCAGATCTGGATTGGGCTTTTCTCAGATGCACAGATATGATATTATATGAATCATGAGCCCTGAGGACTGTGATCTGTGAGCCAAAACAACTTCAACTTCCAGATAATTACACACACTAGCACAAAGACCTCCATGCCATAATATCATATGCAAACAACCCACTGGCTTCTATATTATATGTGGATATAATCCATAACACTATACTGTACTAAACATCAAATGTGTAAGAACCACGAGCCAGAAAGACTGTAGGCGGCTTGCTTTTCTGAGATGGAAAGACCTTACGTAATGTTTCTTTTAGTGGGAAGGAACAGCTTTTTATTTTAAACACAAGTTGATGATGTTTTCTGTGTGACTATTTTTGTTGTTTGCCACATTTCTGATCTTGTTTTGATGGAAAGGCTGATTTATTATTGGAGGGTGGCTGAAAGAGGCCACACTATTTGATGGATAGTGCAGACGGCTGCATGCGGACCAATAAAACAACTGATAAATGAGAAGAAAATATCGTCTGATGGAATTTTTTTTTGCATGTTCGTAACAATTTTAATATTTTTATTTGCATAATCATTAAATAATTTTAATTTTAATCATTTTGGAATTTTAATTTTATACTTAATATTCTTCTTTTTTTCAGGTGGAGGCTCTTTTTAGCATGTTTATTACATAATTTCATAGTTTTTATACTTTTATATTTTTTGCAATTAATGTTAATTACATAATTTTATAAATTTTGTAATTTTAATTTGATACTTCATGTTTATACATTGTTTATAATGTGACTTTTTCTTTGTTTTTGATGTTCATAACATAATTTTAATAATATTGTTTGCATGTTCATTACATAATTTTGTAATGTTAATTTCATATTTCATTTTTATACTTCATATACTTTTTTTCAAATTTAGGTATTTATTTATTTTTTATTTATTGCATGTTTATAGCATAATTTTAATGTCATTTTAATAATTTTTAAATGTAATTTCAATAATGTAGTCATTTTAATTTTATGCGTAATTTTTATAGTTCATATGTATAACTTTTTCTTTTTTTTTTCGGATGGAGACTAGACTTTTTTATTTAGCATAATTTTATTTATTTATTTGCATCTTCATTACCTAATTTAAGTAACTTTGTAATTTTAATTCTATACATCATATACGTAATTTTTATGTTCATGTTCATTGCATTATTTCATTATTTTGTTCATTTAATATTTCATTTTTAGGGTGACTTTGTTGCATTTTGTCCTCGGACTACAAAAGAAAAATAGCCTTTGTTTTATTTACTGAACTAATAAAATAAAGAAAAAATACATTTGCATTTTTTATTGTACAAAAAAATCAGATTCATAATGCACAAGATGATACGTTATAACTTCATGTAACCTATTTTATCTAGTGGACCAAATGCAGGTTTGCAAACTGAAAATATTTAAATGCTGGCAAGAAAATATTTGTGGTTGGCACAAAATGTTTTTTTTCTATGTCTCTTTCTCTATCTCTCTCAGGGTCACATGTTCTCGTTAGGCTCCACCCTGTGGGCGGCGCTGGATTATGTGTCAGAGGCGGAGCTGCAGGTGGAGTTGAGTGAAGAGAGCAGGTGTTTGCTGAAGCAGATGCAGCGAGAGAAACCTGAGGATCGACCGCGACTCCAGGTTCAGCACAGTCTAGTCAAATACTTCTCATTGTTAATATAACAACAATTTACATAAATTTTATATTTACATTAAGTTAAACTAAATGAAAATAGTAATGTTGCCTTGGCAACTAGCTGAAGGGGGGGGTACAATGCTGTTTCATACATTCAGAGTTGTTTACACTGTTAAAGAGTTGGATTCTCATGCTAAGCATGGACAAAGTTTCAAAAAACAATTTAGTATTTCTGTGCCAAAAATCTTACTTCCGGGTTCGTACAAGTTTCGGAGAGTTTTTTTCGATCGTGGCTCTTCATGACGTAAACGAGGGTGGAACTCCTTATATGGGCATTTCTCCCGAAAAAATCCGCCCCCGCACGCATCGACCAGAGCGAGATCGCGCCCATCAACGCGCTTCGTCCGGCGGCAGCGCTACACGGGACTTGCTCGGGAAGAATGTCTCCAAAGAAGTGTGTTTTTGGTTGTAAGGGAAAGATGAGAGGCAGTATAAAATGCGGTGCACGCGACAATTACGTCAGATTCTTCTCCTTCACTTTGCTGAATAACCTAAGAATATGACTTATAAACTATTACAGCTCACCTAAGGTTCGCTCATCAGAGGGCGGTGCCTGGATTGCTGCTCCTCTGCAGCGTTCAGGTGAGTATGACATTTTTCTTCAGATGCCAGATGAGTCCGTCTGCCCTCCGCCGCCCACACTGGTCAAAAAGCGCGCCATGCAAAGCAATGAGCCTCGTTATGCCGAGGCGCGCTTTCCAGCAGCAGACTGCGAGATCGAGGTCTTCTTTGGCACACGGCTCATCGCAGTGCAGGGACACCAGGCCCGCGACCACTGCTGCCTGGAGCCGGATGTGCAGAGAAAAGTGTAAAGGGACCCGGGAAGAGGCACCACGGCAAGCGGAGGAGCCCGCGCTGTGACTCCCGCCCGCCGTCAGCTGCCAAGCCGTCGTCCTGACAGCCCGGAGAGGAGGGAAGAGTAGCCTACGCGATCGGCCCAGCCCCCAAGCTGTCTCAAAATTGTTCAAATTTGTGTTTGATGTGTGTGTGTGTGATCATTAAAAAATGCATACATGTGCACAAAAGAGCTCTTTCCTCCTCACTCAGTCAATGTAGTGCCGCTCGCCCCGCCTCAGAGCGGTGCAGAGCCGCTGGTCACACATGTTATAGTCGCACAGCACTCGCCGGCGCATCCAACGACCAAGCCGCTAAAGCCGCTATTTGGGCTGGCTTTGGCCCCGCGCATTTTTTCGAAGTGCATGGACGCAGCTCTCGCCCCCCTCAGATCGAGTGGGATGCGCGTTCTCAATTATTTGGATGATCTTTGCTCAGTCACGGGACACACAATAGACAGCCATATAGACAAACTGTTTCGTCACTTGGAGTTCTTGGGGCTATGTGTGAATGTGCGTAAGAGCATTCTCGCCCCGAGTCAGTCTATAACGTACAGTATCTGAGAGTGTGCTTCGACTCGGTGGAGATGCGCGCTCGCCTCTCTCGGGAGCGCTCGGCGGCCATTTTGTCTTCCCTGCA